GGACCGGGGACCGGGAACGGGATTGCAACCTTTGGTGTTGCCCCCGCGCCTCGCTCAGCCAGTGAGCGGGAACTGGTCTGTATGTGGGATCCGAACCCTCGGCGGGAGCGCCGCCGCACTTCCCAAGCGGTGCACTAGCGCAGTGCGCCACCGGGCCAGCCCCAAACTTAATGTATTTCTGAAAAATAAATGCATTAATTTTCTGGTTCTACTAAGACTGTTGCTTCGATCCTCATCCCGATAGCAGGTCTGAAAATAAGAAGTAGCAATGTTAGGCGGTAGGCCACAGAGAAAAACTTTGCTATGTTCTTTGTTTTGTGAAAGTGCATCAGTATTTGCAGCCAGATGCCCAGTAGTTAAGGTCTTTGTTCACTGATAATCTGAAGATAATTAACTTTGCTCATCCTAGACTCACTGGGTCCTTACCGTTAATTCTCAAGCTCTGAGCAAGAAGTTACTGCTCTGAGGCACCAGCACTCATATTCCCTCTAACAGAAAGTGAAAAAACTCTTGTCAAATTTTTTTTTATCTCCGCAGCTAAAACATTATTCATCAAAGCCGGGTGCGGATTAAATAAATCTGGTTCGTTGAATAGAAAGTTTACTTTTCAAAATTTTTTTCAGATGCTGAATCAATTTGTAACATTAAGAACACTGTTTAAAAATTGCAAACCCAATCTCCAAGGTAGCATGCAGTCTTTCCCAGCTGCACGATGATATACCCAATTTTTTATTTATAGAACTTTCACATGCATGACATTTAAGATGGGCTTTTTTGAAATTTTATATAAAAAAATTAAAGAGTGAGTCCCAGAAACCACTGACAAATTCAGCGAGTTGCCTCTGTGTATTGAAGGGAAGGAGAACATTGGATAGAAAGGAAGATATCAAGCCCTTAAGCACATTCTCCAATAAATCTCCAAGGGCTTACAAGGGTTGCTGCATCTAACAAAATACAATTTGTCAATTTTTAACATAACTGTTCATTTCAAAATCCTGCCCTTTGTGAATTTTTTTTTGCTTTCATTTTCAAAATCATATGTGATATATATTTATTCAACAAAACCAAGAACTACAGACGAGTGAAAGGATAAGACTATACACACCTTAGATTATTTTCTTTTCAAATATACATATGCACATACTTATTTTCACCAAGATGGGTTCACAGACTGTGCATATGGGTCTGTAATCTGTTGTTCCCAGGTAACAAACACCAGGAGCTGCACATCTTGGAAGTTCCCTCTAGGACGGCCAGTCCTTCAGAGCTTCACTCCCTAACCTGGACTCCTAAGGCTCCCTAACAGGCCTGAAGCACCCCGTTTTCATAACTCACACTTTTGTCATCTTCAGATCATTTTCTTTCATGACAAGGCTATCTGGTTCCTGTTCAGGTACGCACCTTCCTTTCTCCTTCTATTTGCTTCTGTCCCTTCTTTGTACTTTCCCTTTCTCCTCTAAATAGCCTAGGTTCTAAATTGAAGGCATTTCTATGGTCTCTCTTGAGTACAGGAGGTGATAATTGGTGATGACTAATTTTTAGAAATGCATGTGTCCTCTCTTGTATTAGGACAATAAGAAAAACAGGGCTCAGGTACCACTGTTAACTCAAATGCCTGTCCAATGACTAGCAAACTCTGCTCTGCCTGCCCTTTTTTTTTTCTTTTTGTCTTTTTCCGTGTCCAGCAACGGATCACAACCCTCAGTGTTGCCCCCGTACCGGACCGGGGACCGGCAACGGGATCGCAACCCTCGGGGCTGCTCCCGCGCCTCGCTCAGCCAGTGAGCGGGAACCAGTCTGTATGTGGGATCCGAACCCTCAGGAGGGAGCGCCGCCGCGCTTCCCAAGCAGCGCACTTATCCAGTGCGCCACCGGGCCGGCCCGTGCCTGCCCTTTTTTAAGGGAAATTTAGTTGGGAAGTTTAAGAAAAAACTTTCAAAGTAAAATAAGATCCTAAACCCAGTCAGTATTAACCGGGAATCTATTTCCCTAGAGTGGCTGATGGGACTTGACTGTACTCTCATAAGCTCATGAAACTAGAAAAAGATTAAAGCATAGGGGAGGCAAAAACCAACAAGCAAACAAACAAACAAAATAAAAAACTGGCAGAAGCACAGTATTTTCTATAAGGAAGCCAGCAGCTGTTATGTAATCAATTACATACATGAAAGGTGCATGTTGAATTAACATAACTTGTAATCGCTACAGTTATTTAGGATTGATAAGAAAATGATATCATGAGAGTAAGAAGTTCAATTCAGCAGTTCTATTCAGCACACTTGACTTTGAACTTACAGTATGCCCAACATTGAGTGACTGGTTTCAGAAACAAAGATCTGCTTTCCAAGGCCCTGAGTGGTAACGAACAGGTTTGAGAGATAAGTTTCATTACCAGTATGCAAGCTTGCTGTGAGGTGGTAGACTCGAAAGGCGTGGAGGAGGTTACAGGACTGTTATTTGTGAGTTGTGCCACCTTAACCAAACCCCTTCCCTGCTGTAACCTTTAGTTTTCTGATCTGTAAAATGAGATCGGTAACAACTCTCTCACTTTGTGGACTTAAATGAGAAAACTTATGTGAAAGTACTTGGCATACTGTGGACATCAATCGTGATTTTAGAGAAAAGGTAGAAACAACTCAACTGCTAGAGTAGTGTCCACTCAGTATAAAATGAAATGCCCAAGAAAGGAAAAGTTGGTTTTCTCTTAAGATAATCAAGGAAAGTATTATGGAAGGGAGGACATTGAAATTGGACCTTGAAGGATGTGAGTGATTTTAGTAATAATAACCCTAGCCAACATTTAAGGAGGGCTCGCCATGTGCCAGGAGCTAGAGCACCTAACAAATGCTAATTCATTTACTGGTTACAACCGCCCTATGGGGCAGGTCATAACACTTCCACCTTATGGAGTAGACAGTAAGACTCCTATCCTATGGGGCTTGTCTTAACACAGCTATCCTGTGGGGTAGTTTGTGATACTCCCATGCCATGGGGTAGGTTGTGACATAGTCACCATATAGAGTAGGTTGTAATGTCATTCTCTGCTTATAGCTGATGAAGCTGAAATTCATGAATAAATTTCCCAGGTCACACTGCTAGTGTGGCGAAGTTGGGATTTGAATCCTGGAAGTCTAACTCTACAACCCATATTCTTGACCATGGTACCAATGTTAGAGAAGGACATACCTGTTGTGTAACCCTCCTAAACCAGAGAAGGCTCTAACCTAAATAAGGAAGGCAGTCATAGGATGTCAAAGCTGGTAAGAACCCCAGAAGTCACTTTACAGATGCCACACTGAGCCCCAGCGGCCTCAGTGACTTAGCCCTTAGCCAAACTGTGACCCAGTGACCTAAGAAACAAGCCCAGGGTTTTGAAGATCCCAATTCTACCAACATGGCGCCTGCCAACATGTCACCTCCCTGGTGCACTGTCCTGACTGGTGCACTGTCCACTCTATCATGGCAGTAACAGACTAAAAGTGATCTATGTGTTCAGCTAAATATACCACAGCCTTGCCAAGGCACACTGTTTTGGTGCAACTAGGCATAAATTTGGGTCTTACCAGACTCGTGCAAGGAACTTTTTATTGGAAATACCAGCAAGATGTCACCTATAAATAATCTTTCAGCAGGAACCCCCAAGGCAGTGTTAAAAAGCAAAACTCTAAGCCACATTTTGAAAATAGGTAAGAATATACAACCTGAAAAGTTCACAGAAATTCTAAGTGGCACAGAAGGGGCGCAGAAGGCAGGAAGGGAAGGGGGAAGGGCATTGGATAGAAATGGCCATCGGATAGTTCCCACAACCAAAAAGTATGTTCCCTGACTGGTTCAGGACAGTGCCTTTAAAGTCTAATCCTTTAGAATTAAGAGATGACGATAGCAATTCCTTACCCCTCTACTCGATTTACTCTCTCTTACTTTACATGGCATCTAGCTAAAGATTTTGATAAGTATCAAGATATTAAAATAATACATGTGGTGAGAGGGCAGTGGGGGGGGGAGGCAGGAAGGGGAGGAAAGATGCTCCAGGTGGGGACAAGGGAGAGAGTGAAAGAAAAAATGCATGACACTATGACAAACTTGATCTTGAAATATTTGCCCAAGGCCAGGCCTGCTTATTTTCCTGCTAACTTAACAAAATACAATGGTAAGTTTAAACAGGAACAAAAAGCTTAACTCGGAATCAGGTAAAGTAGTTTTAAAAAGTTTTAGAGGGCTGGCTGGTTAGCTCAGTTGGTTAGTGTGGTGGTGTAACACGAAGGTCAAGGGTTCGGGTCTCCACACCTGCCGGCCACAAAAATAAAATAAAATAAAACCTCTTAGATGCTTGCCAAAGACAATTACCAGCTCTGCAGAACCAGACAAATTCTTATTTCATGTGTTGTTATACAGGAGAGGGAAAGCTACAGTTGATCTTGGCATGATTTGAACAGAAATCCTTTAATATCGACACTCAAATTATCAGCATTTTGGAACACCATACCTTAATTGCTCTAAAATGAATTTATGAAAGCCAGATTGTTTGGGGAAGACCATTTTCTCACATAGAATACAAATATTCCAATAAAAAAAATTAAAAAAATTAAAAAAAAAGAATACAAATATTCCAGTGCTATTCCTGTTGGGGTTCAAATTTGCTTTAGGTGTGAGATTCATCTTTAGTGCCTCCCTTATAAGCCTTTTTTAAGCTCCTCCTTTTTTTCAGCAACCTCTTCCCTCTGCTCTCTTCCCTCTGTCCAGGGTACCCTCTCTGAGCACCTTGCTTAGGAGAAAAGCAAAAAGTAATAAATCCATGAGCTAGCATCTTATGCTGAACTAGTTTAGGTAATCAGGTCGGTGTGGGCGAAAGTACCGAGCTGGGGTGAATTCAAATCCCTGCTCTGTCTCTGTGCAACCCGATGTGTTACTTAACCTTGCTAAACCTCAGCTTCCCCATCTATAAAAGGAGTAAAATAATAACCACCTTGAAGGGTTATGAGGAGTCAGGAGAAAATGGTGGTACAATGCCCAACACTCGAAGATGTTCTGGAACCCTATGCCCCTTCCCCTCATGACTGTAGGCAAAGCTAAAACAAAACAAAACAAAAACATAGCAAAGTTAAAAAACTGAAGACAATGAAATGATCTTTAATGATAAAATTTCACTTCCCACCCTCCTGCTGCCGGCTCCCAGGGATCGGAGATAATGGGAGGCAGGAAGAGCTCTTCATGTATTCTCAAGCCAGAAGCACCTGCCCCATAGGTTTGTTACAGACTTTCCATCCTGGAACTAGATACCTTAAAATCAGATTGAACTAGTCCCTTACTGACAGCCACCATATTTCCTATAACTAAATACTTGATGTGACTCAAAGTGTGGTCCACGGACCAGCAGCATTGACATCAGCAGGGAGCTTATTAGAAATGCAGACGCTCAGTTCCCAGCCCAGACCTAGGGCTTCAGAATCTGCATTTTAGCACAATCCCCAGGTGATCCACGTGCACATGGAGCTTGAGAAGAACAGATCTAGACCACAGTATAGTTGTACTACTTTTGAAGTCCAATGAAATCATTGTGGCCCACAAGAACTTTCAAAATTTTATGGATGTGGGTGAAACTGTACAGTTCACCTCCCTTCCATCTTTCTATCTCCATCTAAAATACCCCTAAGCCCCTGATTTAGGACGACTTTGAGAACCTAAGAAAAAATATTTGTAGCTAAAATAACATCACAAAAACTCAGTTAAAGAAAAGAAGGTATAACTAACATTTTTTTTTTTTCTGGAAGCAGCTATGAAGCCAATATGAAAAGCCATGGAAGGGTAATGCCTAAAGAATAGGATGGAGAAAATCAGCAGAGGAAATGGCACAGAGCCAGATCGAGCTGGTGGCGATGTGCACACAACCTGACAGCTTCCCTGAATGAGATTTTGAGCAAGGAGTGAATTTACAGTAAAACTATAGCAGTTTCAGCCTCTGCCCCCCCCCCAAATTAAACAGTCCCATCCAACGTCCTGAAAAAAGCCCTAGCAATTTCACATTTGTAATTTTGCACTATGTTTCTTAAAGTGGGCTCCTCAAATTTTGTAAACTTCAGGCCTTACCGCACGTACATGCTAACCTATTTTTCTGTAGGATGTGACACTGCATAGCTGCTCGCTGCTTAAACATACCATTTTGGCTTGTTCTGTCGTCATCGCCTGGGTCCACCACAGCGTAGTTAATCTGCTCTTGGAGGGACACAAGAGTCCCAGCTGTCCTCTTTCCAGCAGCAGCGAATTGTCTCACATTTTCCCGGCTGCTGGGTCAGAAATGGCTACATTACTCAGTGCCCCCAAAATGTTTATTGTCCTGCAGGGCCTTACACAATCCCACAGGAAACCACGCTCAACACTTAGCCAACACTTGTTGAGCTAATTGAATGCAACCAAAACGGAGACAAAAGCATATTTCATACAGGATCCAACTTTGATAACTACAGCTCCTGCTTTTCCCAGGCAGCTCTCGGGTACATGTGATAACCCTGCCTTTGTTTGTAGAACCTTATGCTGGGAAGGACAAGAAAATATCTCAACAAAACCTGGCTGCTGATGCTGGCTTCTCTCACTAGAGTCAGGAAACCATTAGGAAATGCCAAAGTGCACAGAGAATAAGCAATGAAAACTTCAACTCAATACTTGCACAAAGGGAGGCCGGAGAATAAATGAGAGAGAAGAACAGTTACTATCGACTGCAAAGAAGCACATTTCCACAGTTGAAATTATTAAGAAATCCAGAAATGGAAGACATCATTTTGCTAACGTATGATGCACCAAGATTGCAGAGAAATAGAGTGATTGTCACTTGCTATTGTTATGACAACATTCCAACTTTTGGGTTTACCATTTTCTCTGGTGCACACGGGTTGTTCATACATAATAACTCTAATGATATATTCTAGGTTCTGCTGTGGATAACCAAGAGAATTAATCATCCTTTTGGCATGCATTGACCCACTGTAGTAACTTATAAATTGTTGGATACGTTCACTTATTTATAAACATCTACAATGTGATAAAGACTTGGGTTGGCAGAGGAGAATGAAGCTACCAATTTTCAAAGAGATATTCTTTTGAGTGGACACAAGATTAGCATCATTGCTACTCAGTGCATTCAGTCAAGTCTTAGTGAGAACGTGCCACGGGCTGAGCATTCTGTTAGGAGCTGGCGGCCCACCAGTAAACAGAGCAGAGGCAGCCTGCATCTTCGGAGGGCTTATGTCTAGGGGGGAAGAACCACAAGTAATGGTCTAATTATAGTGGAGACGGTGAAAAATAACTAGCAGACATATTTTTAATATTTCTGTTTGGAAACTGGAATTTTGGGAGGGGCAAAGAGTCCTTTAGAAGAACTAGAGAATGTATATTACACTCTAATAGCAAATAAGTCACTGACAGATTCTTAATAGCTCTCTGCCCTCTAAGAATAAAGTAGGCAGTTGTTTGAGAAATTGAGGGTGAAGCAGAGAAACAGGAGCATAACAACCTGGCCTAGTACGTTCATTCTACGCTCTAATTAACCTCCTTTCCCACATGGCGGTTCCATTTACTCCACCGCCCGTATATGATAACATGGCAAAAGATCGATTGTAGAACTAAATAGTAAATCCAGGGTAGGGGAAGGAGGAGGTGGAAAAACCATGGAAACACCTGGGCACAATCTCTTGGGACTTCTTTCCCTTCTTGGGGCTTAAAATACTCAGGGGCAGCTGGGAGGAGCGGTTTCCTCTAAGTCGAAATGTCACAGATTTATTTACTTTTTCTATCCATTCACTTCCTCTGCTACTTCTGAACCTTTCTTTGGCTCTGTATTTTCCAAGTCTTTGGTTAAATCCTAACTTTTGGCGACCTGCTATTATGATTACATGATTTAATTTACTCAAATTAAAGTCTGCATTGTCACCTTCAGCCAGTGAGACCCTTAGGAATTTTCTCTAAAGCCTTTTCTGCAAGCCTTTAGCAGACAACAGCTAAAAGGACACAGCAGGGGATAATTTGACTTCATGATGTGAACAAGCTTGTTCACTTGTGCTTACATTTTTAGAATAAGAAAGAATCTGGTAGGATCTATTTTACAGAAGAGAGAGAGACAGAGAAAGAGACAGAGACTTTGGGCTTGTGGCTGACCTCTATTTTTCTCTGACTTTAAAAAATTCATTTGACTCATGGCTTTAAACACCATCTATATGCTAGTGATTCCAAATTTCAGCCAGGATCTTGCCCGTGAATTCCAGACTCATATTCAACTGTCAATTTGTCCATCTATACTTGGAATATCTAATAGATATGTCAAACTTATGTCCTAAGCTGACCTCAGCTAATAGCAACTCTACCCCTCTAGGTGCTCAGGCCAAAGAATGTAGAATCACTTTTGATTTTCACCCTTCCCTCACACCCAATGTCCAATCCTTCATGAAATATCGTTAGCTCTATGTTCGAAAAGTACCCCAATTTTAGCCATTTTTCAATACCTCTACTGCTACCCATTAATCTAAGCTGCCAGCATCCTTCACCTGGAATATTGCACTAGCCTCCTGAGTGTTCTCCTTTGTTCTGCGCTTGCCCTGTGCAGTCTATCCTTCACTGAGTAGCCAGAGTGATTCTTTCAAATATAAGTCAAATCTTACCACTTTTCCAGTCTGAAATCACCAATGGTCCCCTCTCTTTTGGTTCCCTGGTACTAATGCCATCTCATGATTATTCTACTTTATCTTACCACTCCCAAAACTGGCTTCCTTGCTACTCCTCCAATATTGTAAGCACCATCTGTCCCAGGGTCTTTGCAGTGGTGGTAACCTCTGCTTGGAGAATTATTCCAGATATCTGCCTGGCTCGTGTCCTCATCTCCTTGCTCTGCTTCAAATGGCACCTTCCTAATGAGCTCTACCCAGACCACCTGTTTAATACTGCAACCTCACCCCCACCCAGCATTCCTGATCTCCCTTACTCTGCTTTGTTTCCCCCATGGCACTTATCACCTTATAATAGAATGCACAGTTTTTTACTTCTTATTTTTATTGTTTTTCTCGTCTCATTAAAGAGTAACCCACAAGAGCTCAAACAGCTTCTCTCTGCTGCCTGAGCCTTTTCCATTGGCATGTCTGCATTGGGGGTATCACTCCATCGTCTCCTGCATTTAATCCTTCTGGTGCCAAAATAATCTGCTTGGAGGTTGGGATCTGATGTGAGTTGTTCTCACTTTACTGGAACTGAAGATTGACGTCTCACCTCTCCTGAGGGTGCTTGCACAGTAAACCTCAGGTCCAGTGGTGGAACAAATCACTTTGTTCCTTAAGAAAGGAGATGGGTGAGTGGGGCTGGAGGTGAACACGAAAAGATTTGTTGTATTGTATTGTTATGACCTTACCTGACATCTATGAAATCTTTACACAGACTGTTGGTATTTTATCAATTTTACTCTCATTTTTTAGTGGGAGGTAAGAATTTGGAGTCTAGATGGAGTTGGCGAACCATGAGCACCACCTGTTTTTATCAGTAAAGTTTATTGGAACACAGCCACCATTCATTACATATTGTCTAAGGCAACTTTTGTTCTCCAACGGCAGTGTTGAGTAGTTGTGACAGAGACCGTATGCCTGCAAAGTCTCAAATATTTACTTTGCCAACTCATGCTCTAGAAGGATCCTGCCAGCTGTGCAAATGACCTAGTAGCTCAGGATTTAGTTCAATGGCTCAATTCAACAGACATTCACTGATTTTTACTGAGTACAAGGTGCTAGAGCTGGAAGCAAAGAAAGTAGACAAGGGGCGAGAGTAACTTTATGAAACTCCTCCAGCCCTGGTTCCTACTTTGATTCAAATTATCTTTTCCCAAAATTTTATCGTGAGAAAATTTTAAAATACAGAAGAGTTAAAAGAAATTGAAGCACCTATACACCACCATCTAGATTCTACAATTAACATTTTACTACATTTGCTTTATTATCTATTCATTTATTCATCTCTCTATTCATCCATCCATCCACCTTATTGTTGTTATTAATATTATTATTATTGCGATGGTGATTTTTAGTGCATTTGAAGTAAGTTGCACACATCAGTACACTTCATCCATAAACACCTCGGCATACATGACATTAACTAGAGGTTAATTCAAATTAGTTTTTAATTTTAACTTCAATACTGTGATCTTGAAGGCAGTCTTCATTTGGCCAGAAGACACAACTTTACAAAAGCTGAAAACTGAGAAAGGTTATCAGGGTAATTGAGGTAAGTATCAGGGGATTCATTCACCTAAATTTCTCCACTTCCCTGGTTTAGAGATGAATTGGCCTTTCAGGAGCTGAGAGTCTTTTGCTTTGATGGATTCTAGGAAAGTTCTGAGGCTCAAAAGAGAGGGTCATAAGCTGTTTTTTTCTGGGATGCTGCCAAAACTCCATGGAAAACACAGAGAGGAACACAGTTAAGAGTTTCCTGCAACAGTTGATCACATGTACTTTCTGGGTCAGAACCCTGGTTGATAGAACAGACTGGGTCTGTGCAGAATGCCCTCATGAGGGTGGATATAGGAGTCACGTGTACCCATCTTTTCTGGATATATTTGGATGTCTTTAACTACCCACTACATTTATGGCCTTCAAAAGTAGTGTTTACAAAATAATTGGTCCTTGACTCGAAGCCAACTGATCTCCTGGGTTCAGCGAGTCTGAATTCCTAATAAGGAATATTCCCGACATATTTGCTATTTAATGAATAGCAGCTTCACTGCTCCTGGAGGCAAATTACCAAAATCTGCAAGAAAGAATTTTTGAGTTGATGGCTTGAAAAAGGAAAAATAATTGCAAATGGTGAAATGTTTAAGATGTCCACGTCCTTCTATAAAATGTATCTTTGAAAATAAATTCAATATGTTATGCAGAAGACAAACATAAAATTTTTGATTAAAAAAGGTCAAACAGAATATGTTGATAAGGCGGGTGTCTTTCAAGATTACAGCGGTGTTAGCTGGAATCATCTGGGGAAGGCTTGTTCATTGTTATATCAGCATAGAGTTTTCCTTGTTTCCTGGGATTCTGAGGGTGATCGACAGTCTATCTACACACTCATATGTTCAGCTGCCTGCTCCACATCTCCATCTGGATGTTAAATGACACTGTGAAAAGTACCCAAAGCTTGATGTACAGGGTCACATCTCTCACCTGAAAAGTGGACCCTGTTACAGTGAAAGATTATATGTCCCCTATTCCATTTGTAAAAATTCTCCCCTCTCTCACCTTTGTTTTTTTGCATTTTAAGTCTTCTGGTTTTTCAGACATGCTCTTTTTTTTTTTTTTTTTCTTGCAGGGGCCTGAAAATGGAATTGCCTGCTTTGCTCTGACCATGCATGCCTTTGGACTTAGCTTTTATCCATGCCCAGCTTCTCCAAGACAAGAAGAGGAAGCATTGACTCCTGTTACAGCTGGAGATGGAGGGGATTTTGAGTCTCAGAGGAAGCTCTGGAAAGGTGTTAAACTGAAATGTCCACAAGAATATAACAAATCCAGTACAGAAATGGGTAAAAATGTACAGCTAAACCATTTTTTCCTGTTTTCTTTTGTTATGAATTTGTCCTTGTAAATACTACTTGTAACAGAGGAGCCTTTGAGGTCACCTGTGCTCTGGAGGTTACTGCTATGACTGGTGGGATGCAACACTTAGTCTCTAAAGTTTAGTCTAATAATTATTTCTCTTGCTTGTTGCCTGGTTGCCTTGGTAATAATCTAAATGAACATATCCACTTTCTGAAAAGATAAATATTTGTAAGAGTTTGTCATTAGCCTGGAGAGCTTTGAAAATCTACCTCTTTTCTCCTCCCACTTAAAGGCATATTTCCCAGTTATCTATTATCATGAAACAAACTACCCGGAAACTGAGTGGCTTAAAACAACCATTTCTGCTGATGGTTTTGTGGGTCAGGAAGTTGGGAAGGACAAGGTTGAGTGTTTATGTCTTACCCACATGGTATCAGCTAGAGGTTCCACTTCCAAGATGGCTTCCTCGTGCCTGGTGCCTCAGTTACCTTGGCCTCTCTGTTTCTTCACATGGCATGTCTTCCTCCAGGGCCTCCCCTTTATGTGGCGTGGGTTATTACAAGAATGGTGACCTCTGGGTCATTGATCTTACAGGACAGGTGGCTTCCACGAAGCAGGAAGTGGAAGATGTCAGGCCATTTCTGAGCCATACCTAGAACTACAACAATGTCACTTCCACCATATTATATTGGTCAAAGTAGCCACAAGCTCTGCCTAGACTCAAGAGGAAGAGAAGTAAACTCCACTTTCGATGGAGGGGTGTCAGGGCCAGAAGAAGAGCATGTGCAATGGCAGATACTGTTTGGGCCATCTTACGAAAACAGAATGTTCCAAAGGAATAATAAGCAATGGCTCTGGGCAACAATGTGTAGGTGTGACGATTGCCATGAGGGGACAGACATCAAAGGCTTTCCAGAGTTAGTGACATGGAAACTAAGAGCTGAAAGATGAATGGAGATAAGACCGATCAAGGAGAGGGAAAGAAAGCTCCAAATAGACACAGACAGCTAACAAGAGGAAGCATGCACATTCCAGAGGCTGAAAGAAGTTCAGCATGGTGGAAAAAGGATAGAGGGGGTGTGCCCGTTTGTGTGTGTGTGTGTGTGTGTGTGTGTGTGTTTGTACTTAAGTAAGCATGTTGAGGGTGAGACTACTTCAAGAATATCAGAGAACTTTCTCCCGAGGGTAATGAGAAGCCACTGAAGGTTGTAGACAATTGTAATTCCTGCAACTTGCCTGCAACTTGGAGAATGCGTTAGCCAATGGGAAGCCTGAAAGCAGGAAGAGTAGGGTGGCTATTGGAGAAGATGGATGGTGGTAAGTCAAAATGGGAGGGACCGGATGTATTTAATAGCTAGTAGGAGTCAGAATCCACAGGCTTTCAAGGCAGAAGAGTGAAAGGGGAGAGCTTGCATTTCAGGCTCAGGCAATTGGCTGAATGTTAGCTTTCTTTGGTAGAGAATGCAGAAGCGTTTACTGAGGACTGCAAAGTGCTGGACAGAAAGCCCATGTTTCTACTTTAGTTGGAGGCAGTTGTAGAAGTAATTATAATGATATAAGCAATAATATTATTCCACAGCACTTTTAGTGTTCATATGTATTATCTCGTTTAACCTTGAATGACCTAAGTAAGGAGGGGACGGTGGGTTTGAGCCCTACTGATATATCAGGAGCCCAGGGAAAAGACACTGTTCCTCAACTAACCTGTTCTTTTAGAGCAGGGATCTGCAAACTAGGCCCGCAGCCAGAATAGGGAGGTAGCCCACTACCTATTTTTGTACAGCCTGAGAGCTAAGAATAGTTTTTACATTTTTAAGTGGTTGAAATAAAAAATATCAAAAGAATTATATTTCATGACAAGTGAAAAATATATGAATTCAAATGTCAGTATCCGTTATTAAAGTTTTATTGAACTATAGCAAGCCCATTTACTTACGTGTTGTCTATGGCTGCTTTCTTGCTACAAAGGCAAACTGGAGCAGTTTTGACAGAGAACACATGGGGCCTGCCAAGTCGAACATATTTACTATCTGGTCCTTTACAAAGTGTGCCAACCTCGTTTTAGAGATGCCACTTTCTTTCCTTTCTTAAAACCAGGCAGTGAGCCTTCTGCTGTTTTAGAGAACAGAAACTGCAGCCATGCCCGTGCCTCTGGTTAATGATCTTAGCCATGAACTAGATCCTTCACTGGCTTGTGCCAACTCCTTACTCTCTCGCGAAAACTCTCCAGCGCCTGCCCACTGTATTCCAGCCACATCCAACCTCTCAACCAATTGTGTCCCCGCTACAGTGTGCCTTCTCTTGAGGCAGGGACAAAGATGTTCTCATTACAACCCCGTGAGGTTGGTACTATGATCATGGCCACCCTCATTTTACAGGAGTCACGTGAGGCCGAGCCACCTGCTCAAGGTCACGCCCCCACGGAGTGGTGCCTCCAAGGGGTGAAGTCAGCGTTCGTTCGAACCCCTGCATCCCCGTGCTGCGGGTTTGGTGGCAAGCAGACTCCAGCTAAAGACAGGTTTTCCACGAGACCGAGTTGGGGGGCCTTTGCCCCATCAGAGCTCTTGCCCGGGCCACGCGCCTCTCCTGGAGCCCAGCGCACCCCCAAATTGCCCGAGCGCGCATCTCTTCCCGGCGGGAGGGGCGCAGAAGCCACAGAGCAGCAGAGCTCGCCCGGGAGAGGCGGAGGGCAGAGCGCGGAGCGAGAGGATCCGCGCGGGAGGTAAACAAGGGAGTGTCGCCCTCGCCCGGGCCCCCGAGGAACGGGGACTCCCGCCTCCCCCCTCCCCGAGGCCGTCGGCCGCAAAGCGCTGAGTCATGGTGAGGCCGCTGGAGTGGCACCCTCCGAACCTGCCCTCCCTGCGCTCGGTGCCCGCTCCGCGCGTCCCCCAGCCCCGCGGAGGCTCCAGGTGTCGCCGCAGCCTCGTTCCCGGGCCGCCGCTGCCGCCGCGTGAGTACCTGGGGCCGCTGCGCAGGCGGGCTGGGTGGGGGCATGCTGGCGATCGGTTTGCAAATCCTGCCTTCCCAGCGCGCTTTAGTCTCCTGCTTAAATAGTACATTGAAATTTGGGGAAAGCGGTAGACAGCTGCTTTCGTTTCTGCAAAGCACTGAGATCTAAGTACCTCATCGGTTTGTTTGCTCACATGCGTAGAATTTAATACTAGGAATCTGGAAGGCCCCAGAAATAGCCTAGAAGTGGGTAAAAGCACTTTTTAGATGCTTGTGTATAAATGGTGACAGGCCTGTGCTGCTTGAGTATCAAGCTCATTTCTGGGCCCCACATTCCTTCACCCAATAAATTTTTATTGATTACCTACTGGGGCAGATACATTTTAGGATAGGCCTCCACCAACTGGAGGATATTGCGGGATAGATCCCCTCTTAATAACAGCAGTTAACATTCTCATAGTACTAACTGCACCCCTTTCAGGTAGGCAATTGTTACTCCCATTTTACAGATGGGAAGGCTGAGGCACTCAGAGCCTCACGTCACACGGCTGGTATGTAGTGAAGCTGGGATGCAAACCCAGGCTGTCTGGTGCCAGAGTCTGCATTTTGCTAAAGCACCTGTCTTGGAATCTTTGAAAGAATTGGTTGTGTTTTGCTTGAAGAAGAGGTTTAGGGGACTGGGGGTACTGCCTGTAAAGTGGAAAAGTGGGTTAGTTCTATTTGTTCTGTGATAGTCCCCTGGTTAGAACTTAGCCCCGCCCCCCCCCCCGCCC